CCTTACTAAGGCCTCCTGTCTAGATCCAAGAATCCAGAGGCGTAAAACCAATAACATGTTTACAGCAAGACTGTGGAGCATATTTCTCAGGGTGACCTGACATACGTGTTTCCCTGGTTGTGATCATCATATTGACTCAGCAAATCCTACACTTTGTATATCTGGCCTCAGTTTCTTTTAGATCACCAAACTCTCCATCAATAGTTCACCAACTCAGCTTCAAGCTAGGTGGGCTGCTAGTCCTTTGACTTCTTTGCTTGCATCCAAGACCCTGGGTGTCAATTTAAACGTTCAGCTAATGGTACCCATTGCCTCCTTCCTTCCAGCAACACCTATTCTCCTCTTACCTCCACTCTCCACCCTCATGAGACTGATCTCCCAGGGTCACAGCTGTTTGGGGACTTTCATTTCTGCTTACCTGCCTGTCATTCAGAAACATCTATTTCATTTTCCAGTTACTTTGTTTTTGCACACCTCTTTTTACTTTTCAGAGTATTTTCATGTATTTACTGTACTGGGGACTCTTCATTTTCCTGAAAGCAGGCCAGACAGGTGGTATTGTCCCATTTTATAAATGAGAGCACTGTACAGAGGTTAATGACTTGCTGAAGATGCAGTGGAGGCTTTAAAGCTTGTACTTCAACCTCCATCATTGAAATCCAGTTCCTCTGACTATTCCTTGTAATGCTTTTCTTTTTCCTCTTAGAAAAAACCTTTAAGAAAGGTATAATCTAGTGATAGAGAATGAGGAACTGTGTGGTAGGTTAGAAAGAAAAAAATGTATTCCCTCCCCACCCTCATGGTTTGTTCTTGGGTGAGCCCATAGTAGCTTTGTCCTAACATTTGTCCTTTTTGCCACATCCACGTAATAGATGAGAACATCTTATGAAGAATACCTGTGCCTTTGGTATACTGGAAACTAACACCCTTGAAACAAGAAATACTTTTCTGGGAAGGTTTCATTGTATATAATTCCAGCTCTTAGAGTTGGAAGAGAATATACGAATCATCTGGGTTGCCAGGTGTTTGGTTAAATCCTTGGTTAAATCCCGTCTGAATCCCTGAGGGTTGTGGAGTGAATTTGAGGAACAATCTTTGTTATTATACATCACCCTTCATGGCCTAAAAAGACTTTCTACCAAACTAATTAAATATATGTTGACTATTCAAAAGAAAAAGTTGTTTCTTTCCTTCTTGGGTCATCTGTTTTTTTTTTTTAAATATCCTATTTGAAACATTTCCCTTAAAATTTGTTAGCTGTTAAGAAATTTGCATATTTAGATATCTGTTTAATGCTATTGTTTAATGTAATGTAATTTTTAAAATGTGACTAAATGATAGTAGTTTTTTTTCTTTCTTTCTTTTTCTAAGTTTCTCTGTCTTTATTTACAAGCGAGGTGCCAGTTCTTCCTGGAATTGCTAACAATTTGCCTATGTTTGCTTTATATAACATGCACGGGGGTTCATGTGAATGTTTTCAGTTCTTCTGTGCTTTTTTATTAGCCAGAGGTATTGAGGAAGAGAGGTAGGGTTTGAGATTAAGTTTTTTAGTGAAAACTAATGAAAATTGAGTAAGAAGCATTCACTAGGACTGGTTGTTTTCCCTCTTTGCCTTTGAGTGGAAATTCATGCCCACAGTAATGAAGTGTCAAGTGCCTGTGCTGTAGGATTACTTAGCAACATGCATTTACAGATCTCTATCTTGACCAGTGTTTCTTAGAATTAAAAATGACAGATATATGTACCTAAGCCTTGTAGTCAGTGTATAGAGCTTGAACTTCTCTCCGAAAATCATGGGTCACATAATATTACTTGTGGCCAGCAGAGTGCTTGTGGGAAGTTTCAAAATTCATTAGGTTGATGTATTGTGGTTTGCAGTGAACTTGAGAGCATTACATTAGCAAATGGAACATCCGTTATAAGCTCTTGAGGAGGTTTATATTTCAACTTAACAAATTTGCAGTATAAGTTGAAATGAATTTTTTTTTTGCCTGTAAAGACTCACATAGTCTCTTTAGTTCCTATTTAATGCTAAGTTATTTCTGTAGACCCAAGTAGTGAAAAAGAGAGGCTTACATAGAGGCATGTGGGATATTCTGTTACAAATACATGTTCTGCCTTTGCAGCTTTTCCACATTAAGTGGTTTAACTGGTCCCCTTCAGTGAGTGGAGAAAGGACATCTCAGAAAGCTGAAGGATTGGCATTTCCTTACAAAGTTTTTGATAGAAAGTCTAAGACCAGGTGAAGAGGAGTAAACACATGACCTAGTATACTGCATTTGCAAATTTACAAAGGACTTCCATATACAAAATTCCAGGTGTGTGTGCATGTGCGCATGTGTGTGTGTGTGTGTGTATGTGTGTGTGTTTCAAATCCTGTGATGTATCTATAACAGGCATTATTGTTCCCATTTTTAAAATTAAGAGAAGCAAGTCTGGGTCATAGGTTAAGTCATTTTCCCATTGCCACTTGATAGGGTGGAGCTGGGTCTAGAACCCAGATACTAGGATCTGAAGTTCATCACACTGTTCCCTTTGTTTTCCTCACATACCTTCACCTTGAGCCTAGTGACCACACCTTTTCAGAATCCCTTTGCTTAGATTTCTTTAAGTGGTAGTTGGAGGGATCAAGGTGATGACACTGGAACTGGTGTGGCAGGTGAAAGGCTGAGAGGGCTTAAAAGCAGAGTGGGGTGGACAGGCCTTCACATCATTTATTCCTTTGTCCCTTGATATGACACTCCTTTTTGTGAGCCACCCTACTTGTCCCTCTGGGGTTTTGTCTGCCACTGACATTCTTTTCCACATTTCCTCGCTGCTGCTCTCTGCTACGCACCACTGTTCCTGGTGCTGGAGACCATGTCTGTCACAGTAAACACTAGGGCAGGTGATTGTTCAGGATTCTTTAAACAGGAAAGTGAAAGTTGCAATATACCACCTATATTGAGGTCAATCATAGGGGAAGAGTGACGTAAGAGGACTTCTGTTCCCAGATATGTCTTATTCTCCAGTTTATACTAAATCATTAGCATTTTCCCATGTCCTTTAATACTATTTGAAAACATTTTTCATCATTCTGCAGCATTTTATTACATGAATTTAGCAAAATATACTTAAGCATTCGTCCATTTTGGTTATTTTCTAGTTTTTGTTTTGATAAACATAGAAAAAATCAACTCCTTGGAGAAGGGAACTGTTAACCACTTGAAGAGATACAAACCTGGTTTAAATGGTGTTTTGGTCCATTTTGTGTTGCTATAACAGAAATACCTGAGACTGGGTAATTTATAAAGGAAAGAGGTTTATTTGGCTTACGATTCTGGGACAGCTGCATCTGGCACAGGCCTCAGGCTGCTTCTACTCATGGCAGAAAGTGGCAGGCAGCCAATGGGTACAAGCAAATCACATGGCGAGAAGAAGGAAGAGAGAGAAAGATGAGGTGCCAGGGTCCTTTAAACAACCAGCTCTCGCGGAAACTAATAGAGCGAGAACTCACTCATTACGCCCCCTACCCCCAGGGAGAGCATTAATCCATTCATGAGGGATTCGCCCCCGTGACTCAGTCAGATTCCAACACTGCCACATTGGGGATCAGATTTCCACATGAGTTTTGGAGGGGACAACACATCCAAACTCCATCAAATGGTTTGCCCTAGTCCTTGATTCATTAGTACATTGTAACAGTCATTTCAATCAGATTAATACATGATTGTTTTTCTAGCTTTACTTTCAGATGGGGAGAATGAATAAAGAATAGTCAATGAAAGGAATTGATTTCACAATTATGTCATCAGTATTCTGACCATAGAATTTTATTTAATGGTGTATGCTTTTATAGAAGTTTGATGCAATGGTGATATTTTTAATGTAGCAGGTTGATTCAAAAAAATGTGCACATTTGAGAAATCTAAACCCACTTGTAAATATTGTAATCATTTCGTCAGAGTCATTACTTCATTGATTAGCTTATGTATTTTTGTTGGGGTGTGTGTACCCCCCAAACATTTGAGCTTGACTTTTTTTTTGGTCATGTATGTAGAAAAGGGCTCACTAATTATGAGTAAATTAGTAGAGGTTGAAGAACCAACTTTTGGATTTCCTAAAGTTTTGTTCGCTGAAACTACTGCCTTCGATTTCCTGTGGGCGTGTGAGACTGGGTTGGGAGGGAGAGGGGGAGGCATTAGAGGTCTCCATAACACTATCAGTCCCTCTTCCACATTCTCTATCAGACTCTCCTCTCCACCCACTGCCCAAGATCCAGGCACAACAGGCAGTGAGTAGACCACAATTGTCCTTGGTGTTCTCTTCCTTGGGTTTCTTTCTTTTTTTTTTTTTTTTTCCTGTCCAATTTCTTCTTTTCCCAGGTGACCAGTGTTTTTTTTCTACTCAAACTTCTTTAACATGGCATCCACCAAGGCCCATATTTTTGGGAAGGTCCCATTCTTCCAAATTGTCTTTGCTATCCCTAGTCAACAAGAAGTAACCTGACTTCCCAAACTTGACATTATCTTTTCCAGGTGCATTTGCTTCCAAAAGTGTTTCTAGATAAGTCATTGCCTTAATATTGCTTTGATTCTGTTTGGCTAACTCAGTGCAACGGTCTCAGAGTTCTATTGTACTTTTGGGCAAACTTTGAGGGAGAGGATCACTAGGTAAAAACGGAATGGGGAAGTCACATAAGTTAAAAAAAAAAAAAAAGAAAAGTGAGAAGAAGGCCTTTAGTGCTAAAGAGTGTGTCTTCTTTTCCCAATCTATGGGGGGTGAAATGTGTGAGCATGCAGGAATTTGACTTGAATAAACTCTTAGGATGAAGTCATACATAATTAATTGCCTGCCTCTGCATTCTTTCCAAAGTGATGGCTCTTAGTATTCACATTGTGATAACATGTTTCCTCAGTACAAGAGCTCCAGGACAGCCAATTAAGGAAGACGAGGTGGTAGAGGTTCTGTTATGCAACCTTTGTGCTATTGTAATGGGGTGCGTAATTGTCTGTCTTTTTTCTTTCTAACTTCTAGTGCCTCAAACAGTATATGCAGTTGGCAATCCGAGAAGGATGTGGGTCTCCCATCACTTGCCCTGACATGGTGTGCCTAAACCACGGGACTCTGCAGGAAGCGGAGGTATGGACGAGCGCCACAATCTTCCCCTCTTTCCTGTTGACGTTATTTATTAGGATCTTGATGCTATGTACCTCCCTACAGGCAGTCTAGCAACAAGATAAGAGGTTAAGTTTTATGGAGTACTTTATTGCTACATACCTTTGGGTTCTTTGTACAGACTGTTAGAGCTGTCATTTAACTCAGTTCTACTTTTATGTGCCATCTTGAGTGTTGAAGAAGCTCTAAAATAGGTGAAGGTGCTAGAAATCAGGTTTACCAAATGTGAGGCTTGCAGGCTGAATAGTGAGTGGTCTTGTGATCTTCAGTACTTTAAAGATAAACAGATCATATATTAGCCGCATTTAAAGAAAATCTAAACTATTGTGATTCCACAATGGTAGCTTGAGTTGAACCATTTCCAAAGAGCAGAGAGAGGCCTTTCAATTGATCTGTATCAGGCATCACAAATGACTTTCTTTTTTGAGTGAGTACTTCTCTCATTTTCTTAAGACTGTGATTTATCTCTTTCTTTTATTTATTCAATCCCTGATCACTGGCTTACCTTTACTTTTGCCTTTTAATCTTCAGACCCTTCTTACTTTAAATAAGAATATAACAAACTCTTGTTCATTCTTAGGGAGTTTGTAAGCCTCTGAAAGAGACCCTAAGAAACAGATGAAATAAGTTATTCAGCAAACACGGAACACCTGCTGTGCACCAGGTGCTCTTCCAGTTGTTTTCATAGCCAGTATACTGTCTGATCCTCTCAATAAACCTCATGAAAGTGGCTGTTACTTTAAGATAGGGAAACTGAGGTCTAGAGGGTCTAAGTATCTTACCCAAAAGTGCATATGTAGAAAGTAGATCTAGAATTCTAATCCAGTTCTTTCTTACTACCATAATTACCTGGCTTTAAGAGTAGAACTAGGTAGGTAGATAGAATGTATGATAATGGGCTTGATAATTGGAAGCTCGATAGTGTGCATGTGTGTGTGTGTAGATATATATGTACAAGTATATATGTGAGGGTATATGTGCATGTGTGTATATGTGCACATATGTGTGTAAATATACATACTTTGTTTATGAATATATATGCTTTTACATATATATCCTTTGCTTTGTAAGCAAAGTAGTCTGAAGATGGTATAGACGATTTCTAACCAATTTGTATTTGTGTATCCTGTGCTCAGTTTGTGGAATATCAGCTGAGTGGTACAAATGAGCTAGAAGTGTTTTTTAGGGAAGCATAAAAGGAATACATAATGATTTAGAAGTGATTCATTTTAAGGAAATCATGAAATAATTTAATTTTTTGATAAAAAGGTAATATCAAATATGTAAATTCTGTGGTGAGAAATATTGTTTACTTTTGTGTGGGTAATGGGTAGAAGGAAATTATAGTGGGGGGGAAATTTAGATTATCTACTGAGAATACTGTTGATCTATATAACTTAGAAATTGTTTTTAGAATGAGACTCAGGCATTTGGGAACATCTTTCTATATATAATCCTTCCAGGAAAGATGCTTCCTTTTTTACTTGCTTCTCTGGTTAGCAAGTGTACCGGGCCCTTTTCTGGGTTAGTATAGGGAAGATAATAAGACAGGCCCAGTGCTATGCTTGTGGAGCTCCTGATCCAGCAGAGAGACAGTAACAGATGAGTCAGGTAATTTATAAAAGTGGAATGCAAGAAATGGGAAAGGCAGCAAGAGCTGTGTTTGGTACGATATCTTATTTAATTCGTGTATGCAAACTCTATTAAACATAAATGGAATGAATAGTTTGAAGTTTCAAAACAAGCCCGTGAAATTAAACAGAGTCCTATATTCCAGACCTGTGCTGTCCAATCCAGTAGCCACTAGCCGCATGTGGCTATTTAAATTTGATTAATTAAAATGAAACAAAATTAAATATTCAGTTCTTCAGTTGTCAGTAACTGCTTTTAGGTGTCGAATAGCCACATGTGGCTAATGACTATTGAACTAGTAGCAGAGAAGAGAACATTTCCATCAGTGCAGAAAGGTCAATTGCACAGTGTTGTTCTAGACTTTTCAGTAAATGGTAACCTTTGGGTATGGAATGTTAGGGCTAATGTGTTCAGACAAGTGGGTGAGGACAGGCCTTAATTTGTCTTACAGTTCTCTAGAACAGAGTTTAACTGTTCTGATTTTCTTTGTATAGACATTTTTTCTTTGTATTCCTCTTTCCTTTATTCTCCTTATTCTTTTCCCACTGTAGATATTCTCACTCACACATTCTTTCTTCTGGTTCTGTTCATCCAGTTTTACTCTAAAAGCAATTTTACTTTTAGGCTGTATTAAAACCGAACAGATGATTCTTAAGAATTTTGGAAAAACAGAACAAAAACATATTCCAAACTAAACTGATGTATTTCTGAAATTCTCCAGTCTTTTTCTCATTAGATGCACAAGAAGACCCTCCAGGGTATGAATGAACCATTTCTATACTCATTGGTCTTGCTAAGAGCCAGACTGAAGATAGCATTGATGTACAATAATCAAATGGTCTTGACCAACTTACTATATATATTTTTCATAGTGGTTAAAAAAATGTTACGGTGGTAGTGGTGATTGTTTCTTATCTGGAGTTGAGAACTCGATAAAAGATTATATTGGAGATATTAGTAGCTTCATCCATTTATATGAGACTCCTCCTTTGAAAGTAAATACCACATGCACATGAACTTGGGCCATATCACCTTCCTTTGTAACTTGCTTTACATCAAGATTTCATCATCTATATAGTTATTAATATAATATGTAGGTCATAATCTACATGTTACTGAGCATATCACAGTAGGACTCATTCACAGTATGCTTGACTGGATGTTATCTCCATGACTACTTATTCTTTCTTTTAAAAAATGCTTAATTATACAGGTAACACATAAATGTACCTAGCTTGTTAAAAACAATTCTGGTTAAGGTTGGTTCCCTTTATCCTGCTTCTATTTATATTACAATATATGGTTCTTCATCATTCATTATCTTATAAAATACATGTAACAATTCTTCATCTTCAAAGGACAGTAGGAATTTAATCTCTTAGCTCTGATTACTTTCCTGCATGGTATAGTTTACACAGTTGGCTGTGCTCACACGCCTGCTTTCTTGATTCCTCCAAATTGGCTCAGTTGTGGCTCTGTCTCTTAACTTTTATCTGTCAGAAACAGTCTCATTAGTGAAGCATTTAATGCCCAGGTCAAGTTCTGCTTGCTTATGTAGGAAACAGGAGAAAATAGCAGCTTCCCCTTCAGTGTCTGCAAGCTGGTGAGAGGCAGTGACTCTGGAAGAATTGTGGCTGGAGGTGAGCCCACTGGGAGCCAGAGAAAAGTAAAACTTTCCTTCATTGCATCATCTGGTGCTTTCAGCTGTTGCTCTGCAGACTTTTCCAATGTACTTGATCCAGGAATCTTGTCCAACATGGAATTATGAAAGGCAGGACACAGATTGTTTGTTCTGATAGCATGACTTCAGGCAAAGCCCTTGCTTGAATTTAGCAGCCCTGTTAAAAAAAAGGCAGTGTCTAATTTAAGCAGATCCCTTACAGTGTTAGGAAGTAGCATGCCATCACTTGCTGGGAGAGCCTGAACCATTTGTCTGGGCTGTGACAAATTTGAGTAGCTAGTGCATAACCCATTTGAATAGAACCTGCCATGACATGGCTTGAGAAATTGAACTTCTTCCAACTGATGGCTGGCAGTGGAGGGCAGGGAAGAGCTTCTCAGCCACCAATAATCCTTCCAAGTCCTGGAGCAGTGAAATGACCAGCCTGCGTTTTATTGCTAGTGCCACAGTTTGCATCAGAGGAAGGGGTGGGGGTGGGGGTGGAGCAAGTGCTCTTGCCAAGAATGGGGGCTCCAGAATTTCTACAGGAAAGGATTTAGGGTGGGGCAGTCTGGAGGCCTGGCATAGAGGGGTGGGGAGGGGGAGGAGTAGAGTGCTAAGAAATTTGAAGCTGCATTTGCAAAATAAATATGAGGATACCACAAAATGTTCATAGAAAAATGGAGTTAAAAGATAATATGAATCTTTCCATGAACCTTTTGAGCACCCCTTGTACAATTTTTACTTAGATTGCATATTTATTAAGGGTGGCTTTAAGAAAGGCTGCCAGAGTTATAGGAATCCAAGTGTTCTCCCCAAATCACCCCTTAGCACTGCCCCTGCTTGCCATCTCTTTTAACACTCTTCTTTCCCATTGTCACAGTGGGAAACTGGGGCAGAGGAAGGTTGAAGGTGCCCAGGCAGGTGGCTGTATTCCTGTTACTGTGGGTTAAGGATCTGAATGGGAATGGATCGAGTTTGCCTGTAATAACCTTTGGCTGCAATATGTGTTGGCTGGAGAAAAGTCAAACTTTGGGGTGGTGGGGGATAAAGGAATCTGCCAAGCCAGAGTTAATAGATATTTTTGAGGTTCCCAGCTGAATTTTTAGACAGTATTTAAAACTCTGTTTTATAATGTATTTAAATTGTGTGTAAGTGGAGAATGAGGTTTCTAATATTCTTCTTTAACTAAAGGCAAATGTAAGAAAACTAAGCCGTGACAGGTTGAATGTGTCACATGGTATGTCCCTTTTACCCATAGATGAGTAGAGGGAGGAAAGGTAGGGAGTATCAGTCCATTTCCATTGCTTATAACAAAATACACAGAGCTGGGTGATTTATAAGAAAACAAAATTTGTTGCTTACAGTTTCAGAGGCTAGGAAGCCGAAAGTCCAGGGAACGCATGTTGTGAGTGTCTTGGTGGTGGCAACAGTGACCCAGGGGTCTCACATTGCAAGGTGGCAGAAGCAGAGAGACTGCTCCTGGTGCGGTCTCCTTTTAAAGCCCTCAGAAACATTCCCCTCACCACCATTATTAATCTATTCACTACTGCACGGTCCCACAATCTAATCACTTCTTTGGGCCGGTCCTTTCAATTGCTGTAATAGGATTTCTCACCCTCAGCAGTTACAGTGGGGACTGAGCCTCAGGGCGGTTGGGTGGGCATCCAAT